GGCGCCTTTCCGTACAACTCTGGACTGCTTTTGGGACAAAAGGTTGATATTCGATGTTTTTAAATTTTTCCAACTACGTAAACATAATATTTTCTAGACTCTAGACTAAACTATTTGCCACAAATTTTTGCTTTATTAAATTATTGCCAAATTTGTGCTGCTGCGGTTCTTACGCAAGTTGCAATTTGCTAAAGTTGTAATTTTAATCAATGCTTGATGGTAACCATGTCTTTCTTTGTTGTCGTGAAGGGTTCAAAATTTCCGACTGACAAAGGGTCAATTCTAATTTTGTATAAGGGCCTAAACTTTAATAGTTTTCTACCAACAAAACCTTATAAATTGTCTCGATAATAATTAGTCAGCTGTATGATAAAGTTGTTAGATTTTGTGAATTTGGAAGATCGAGCATAAAGACTGTTAGTTTAATTAGCGCATCAAAACATACGTAGTCCAGAAATCAGGTGATAATTTTTCTCCTTTTACGACTTGCCCATTGCTCCTCAATCTTATCTAAATTTACGTTGTCCAAAATGTCTTTCTCGCAAGTTAGAATCATGAGGTTGTTTAGTCTTTTACAGGGGCGGCGCAAAGAAATTCAAAAGGGAAGGGCTCGAGTTGATACGAATTGTCAGACTAAAGGACCATCTTTTGAAAAACGCATTAAGACGATTCACCATATTATATGCCTATTATGTTACGGGGCATATAATACGTTTGAAGGGGCCGGCGGGATGTTGGCGGAGGCCTTGGGGATATTTGAAAGAAGTGACTTCCTTGCAAGCGAAGCGAGCGGACAATTTCCACAAGCACCCTTTTTAGATAAGCTTAAAATACATTTCAGAATATTTCTTGCAGGTATTTTCTTGCAATCGTTTAAAACATTTCGTTATTTTCAAGGCATGCTCTTATTACGCTTGATTAATTCAAGTCTCAAAATTGAATTCATTATTTTTTTATGCCCCATAGTCCTCGGCGTTCTCCTTGGAAATTAAGCAACTAAAGGATGTGTCGGATTATTTTTCTTTAAACGTTTTCCTTTACTCTTTTTATTTGCTTAAAAAAACATATTTGCAAAAAAGGGGGGAGGGGGGCTGAAGCCCTCAGCTCTCCACCTGCCGCCGCCTATGTTTCATCTGTCGATATCGAACGGAGAAAGTTCTTGACAAGTCATGGGAAATGTACTACGTGTCTTTAAGCATTACTGTTAAATATTATTCAAAAAATTCTATTTTTTATCCCGTTTTTAGGAGCAATTTGATGGAATAATTACGACACTATCCCCATTACGACGACTGTAGTTGAAAATACTTGCATTTTCATACAAAATTACGTTTTTTCTGTATTGCGTCGCCTCTCACCTTTGACTCATATGCCTTTTACCAAACAAATATTTTCTTTTGCACTTACACGTACCTTTCTTACACGAACTCTTTGAGCTACAGTTCACAAGGCCATATGAGTCAAAACTTCAATTTTCACAAATGATTTAATTTTTTTCCGATTAACTTAGCTTTCTACCAACAGCTTTAAATTTTCTGAATGTCCTCATATTTTCCGATTGGATAACAGATTGGGGGGGGGTAAGATGATAAAACTGCGTTTTCCAAGATCGTAATAAACGTATAAAAGTGCAAATATCAGAAAAATGGTGAATCTATGAAGAAAACTTTTTCCAGATTTGAAGTAAGCATCGAATGAGCAAAAGTTATTTTTTGTGTCAGTTCTCCTTTAAAGGAAATTGGGCTGAGACTGAGTTTGCAAATGCCATTGGAACGCACATGCTGTACGGAAAGACGCATAAAAATTGCCAACCTTTTCAACTTCGCGACCTCAAACCGCATGCGCAATAGAAAAGTTACCCTGGTTCAAACCTCTTTCGCAATAACGCAAAATTCTTTCAAGACAAGCCAGCCTGAGTCAGCCCGGGCCGAGTCAGCCCGGGCCGAGTCAGCCCGGGCCGAGTCAGCCCGGGCCGAGTCAGCCCGGGCCGAGTCAGCCCGGGCCGAGTCAGCCCGGGGCGAGTCAGTCCGGGCCGAGTCAGCCCGGGCCGAGTCAGCCCGGGCCGAGTCAGCCCGGGCCGAGTCAGCCCGGGCCGAGTCAGCCCGGGCCGAGTCAGCCCGGGCCGAGTCAGCCCGGGCCCAGTCAGCCCTGGCCCACTCAGCCCTGGCCCACTCAGCCCTGGCCCACTCAGCCCTGGCCCACTCAGCCCTGGCCCACTCAGCCCTGGCCCACTCAGCCCTGGCCCACTCAGCCCTGGCCCACTCAGCCCTGGCCCACTCAGCCCTGGCCCACTCAGCCCTGGCCCACTCAGCCCTGGCCCACTCAGCCCTGGCCCACTCAGCCCTGGCCCACTCAGCCCTGGCCCACTCAGCCCTGGCCCACTCAGCCCTGGCCCACTCAGCCCTGGCCCACTCAGCCCTGGCCCACTCAGCCCTGGCCCACTCAGCCCTGGCCCACTCAGCCCTGGCCCACTCAGCCCTGGCCCACTCAGCCCTGGCCCACTCAGCCCTGGCCCACTCAGCCCTGGCCCACTCAGCCCTGGCCCACTCAGCCCTGGTTTGTTTTGAAAGAATTTTGCGTTAATGCGAAACAGGTTTGAACCAGGGTAACTTTTTTACTGCGCATGCGGTTTAAGGTTGCGAATTGGAAAGAGCGCTATTTTTCCCTGCGTCTTTCCGTAGAGCATGTGCTTTCTATCACTGAATTATGGTATCTTCGAAGGCTGGCCCGCCATTATGAACAGTGAAAGGTTTTCATGAGGAATGCACGTGCATTCATAAAGTCAGTTTCAACACAATTTCCTTTAAGACTATTGATATTTTCCTTCTCTGTTATGTTCTTATGATAGCCCTAATTTTATGGCCTGTGTCCCAGACTCCTTACTTGAAAGTAGAGGGTCTGTGTAACCGAGAACAAAATCCCGTACGAGCGTTTTCCTAGGATCTATGGGAAAATTAATTATGCGTAAATTATGCGGCTTCTACATGATTTAGCATAAGTGAGAAATGGCGTAAACAGAGCGTTGTTTGCTGTGATAGTTTACGCATTCAAATAGTTAAAAAAATGAATACGTATTCATACTCTCTATTTTTTGCCCTTGGGATAAGAACCTATTATATTTTATCACACTGAAACCGGTTCTTAATTACATGATGCATAATTTAGGAAAAACAGCCTTTAGGTTGTTATTTTTGTAGGTTCTTATATGCGGGGATTTACTGTATATAGCGCATAAAGAAATGCATGTATGACATGACAGAAAATCAAACAGTAAAGTTCACTATCTTGAGTGAGCTTCGTGAAACATATTTGCAAAATCAAGTAAGACCTTGTTTACACGAGAGAAAATTGAGCGGTTCCAAATATGTCATTCTTGCGTTCCAAACGGATCCACTCCAGGGCCCCAGGATTGATACAAGGGAGGAGTAACATGCGCAGATTATATAGCACTTATAGCAATGTACACATGAAATGACAGACAGGCAAACAGTAAAGTTCAGTATCTTGGGTGAGGATCGTGAAATATATTTTCAAAAACAACTAAATATCTAACGGATTGTCAGTGATATTGCTACAAGAGCACAGATTCTAACAAATCAAAACTGTTACAAAACTTCAAATCCTTTGACTACAAGTTTTATTGCATGAACTTTTAATGATACGAGTCAGGCCTTTAATTTCTAAGTGTTACTGTTTATATTTTCATTAGCATTTACGGCGACTTTCATTGTGGGTTCAATTGAAATGCCAACTGTGTATATTAATTTATTTTGTCAACCGGATAAATGTGAAGTGTTTTATGCATTAAGATTCTGGTCTAAATGAAGTAATTAACTGAGAGTTTCGTCGTATTATGATTGTAATTCTAATTATGCCGATTGCTCTTCAGAATTTGGTTTTTAATAGAGTTGGTGGTGGTAGAGGCTTGTTAAATAAAGTTGTAATCGTTCTTCTTAATTACCTACTGCTATATTCAGAGCAAAATATTCTTCTTTGCGGATTCAGAACTCTATTATTCATCACTGCATGGTAAAAATAAAACGTTTAAGATATTCAGGAACCCGAAGCGGTGGCAAATTAAGCGGCATCAACGTGAAAGATTTGCGAATTCTACGACCATTTCAGCTCGCATGCCTAGCCACGGAGCATAACACGAGGAAAGAACTCAATAGCACACTTCCACTCTTTAGGCTTGAGGAAACAGTCCTCCCTTCAAAGGCAAGTTACAGGATAATTTTTGCTCATAAAGGTGGACAGTAGGCAAATCTCCGCGCTAATGTACGTCAATGAAGGCTAGAAACCTTATATCATTCCAGGAAATGGGAAGCAAAGTATAGATTCCTTAGAAACAAACAAGCCACAAGGGTCTTGCGAATCTAGCATAATTTAGAAACCCTTTTTAAGGCATCTAAACACTGGAAAAACTTCAATGGAGAAATAATCTAGAATCTTTTTTAATAATCAGCTAAGTATCGTCAGTTAACTTAATCTACAACCAATTCCATAAATGACTTATCACCAACCTTTAGTAAAAGACTAAAAGAGAGAACTTGAAAAAAGCAACAACTTGAAGTCACTTTAAGGTTACGGTAAACGTTTTTGACACGATATTTGGTTTTCTCTCCCTGAAGGCCAAACTATTAACGGAATCGGATTAAACTATACATCATACGATGCACAAGAATGTCGTGATTCCGGGCAGATCAAAATAATTGGCAAACATTGTAAAATGATACATTCCAGGCACATTTATTGCTTAAATGACTGTTCCACCTATAAAAGCTATTTTGTACCCTGGCATTTGAGGTATCAAGATCTGACTTATATCAATAGAAAGCGCAGATCCTAAGCTACCAAATAGTGTCTCAAATTTTCTAAATTCTTCCTCCCCTTGAAACTATACCCTGTCAAAAATTGAAAAATAATTTTTCTTCCCTCCCAAAGCTGTATATAAAAGACGGACCAGAGCAAATACACAAATTTTCAGATACTTTGCTTACCCGAGATATGTCCTGGCTGCGTGCAAAGTTTTGGGCCATTCGATTGGTTCCTTGGGTCCAAAAAAGCTTTTTCGTACCTGTATGTAGAGAAAATGGAATTCTAGAGCAAATGGGGTTTTACTAATTGCACTTGCAAGGGACACTAGTGTAATCCGGGTCAAGTCACTTGAAACCACAGTGTAATCCGGGTCAAGTCACTTGAAGCTTTAAGATCATTAAGCCTGTTTGAATAAACACAGCCATAGATGGGATACATATATGTGCCATGCGATATTGTGAATGAGACATGCGACCACAACTGCAAAGCAATGATAATCGGCTTAACAGGTCAAGAGATTTTCAGGCCTCAAATAAAAGTTTTGATAAGGAAATTATTGAAACCTTCGTTTAGATGGGATTTTCTCCATTTTCAAAATACCTGTTAGTTTCAAATTTGGTATCATTCTGTGCCTTGAAATTACGGCTTCTTGAATGAGAAATAATCGAAAAATGGAAAAATGGAAAAATGTTTACTGTAAGCTTAAAACTTTGTGTAGTTTGCAAAAATTTGAATCTCCAGGCATGAACACCATCAATAAACAAAACTTCAAATGCTGTTTATAATTTTCGCCAGGAACAATAGAATAACGGCTATTAAGGGACACAAGCTACAGACTGGGTCAGGAAAACTCAAAACATTAAACCTATCTATCCGTCTTGGCGATCTAAAAACAGTATTGCTAACGAGGCCGTGAATAATTTCTACTGAAGAAATTTGGATTATGAAATGAATGTGGAGCGATTATCTGCAGTTACAACATGAGCGAAAAAGTTCACTGAGAAAGCTGGAGCACTTCATCAACTACTAATTTGTATTTAACTTTGTTGTAGCAAATCATGTTCTGAGTTATCACATTGCATTGATTTTTTGTGTTTCCCGGTGAGACTCAGGGGTGGGTTTGAATTTTAGCCAAGTTTGGTGCCATAGAGGTGACAAAAAAAAGATTTCTACGAACGAACCTCGAACACTGAAATTCGTACCAGTATCAGGTAAAGTTGCAAAAACACCGAAGCATTATCTAAAATAGTTAGAAAATATATTTGATTTATCAGTAGAGAAACGCATACCTGGCGGGTAATCAATAGACTTATCTGAAAGCTAGCCCTCATCGAAACGTCTATGGTTGAGAATCAAAACTGAATGAGGTAAATGCAAGCAAGGCGAGATCCATACTTTATCAAAACCGCAAATACCCCTAGATTAACAAAGGGAATGAAAACGCGACAAAACACAAACCTCACCCTAGCTTTATAAGTCAAGTCCTCAGGAGGCCGAAAGACTCCCGCATTGTCCATTAACTGGTAGAGTAGATACAAGAAAAACGTGAGAAAGGAGGGCACATGAGACCATAATGAATAGGAAATAGTAAAAATCTCAAGCGAATTGTTTAAAGCTCAAAAGCCTTTCGATAATTGATTCTGGTGTAATTCCATTTAATCATCTTGCCAGCTTCAGCTTCTGCTTCAGTGCAACTAGACAACAAAAACTGTTATATTCTACGTGTTTTATTCTACGTGCACGTGATTGGCTGTCGGAATTTTTGTTGAGCTGGATGGAACATCCAATTCAAAAAATTAGCATCCTTAGCTATACTAATTACGATATATGATCACTATATTCTCAAATTTACAGGGATAAAGTTAAGAATTGTGAAATGAATAACGTAGCAAACAGAAAGTTAAAGGGCCTCTCCAGCCAATTTTTTGCACTTGCATTTTATTGGCTAATCTAAAGGAGTTGAACCTGCTGATCACGAATTCGTTATTTGTTTTTCGATTTTTTTTACAGTTTGTGAGATATAAGCTCTTGCATTTCGATAATTGAATTGAATTTACCGACAAAAAATTTTCGGTTTGGTGACACTGTGACGCAATTTTGACGTCACAGTGTATTTTGTTAGTCTCGCCTCAAACCGAATCGAACGACGGCGATTCGCAAATTGAACACTGCAAGTGATGGTACTCTCAGTTCTGTTCCACCGGCTTTTTAGTTTGAGCATTTCAAATGTCAATTCTGAAGCCTTTAGTTGTTCATCGTTTCTGGAGAACAACTGAAGTGTCAATTTCGATTAATTATACGCGAAGGAAGAGCTAGAACAGGAAGCCGTAGCTTTGTGGGCCTACACAGGTGATCAAAACAAAGTCGTGACACAGCATGGACACATTCCGACCCGCAAACTTAGAATGATTGTAAACATTTTATATTTTCGATCCTAAAAAGCTCCTGCTCTAGATTTAGATGCCGTTATCAACGCGTGACCATGACTCCTTCACGATTCGGTGGAAGATATACGAAATTCATGGCGAACGAGGGCCGCACATTGTGACGTCAGAATGTCACAAAACTGATTCGGCTTTTGTCGTTTTTTTCTCGGAAAGGTGCAACTTTAAAGCCTTATAACTTCTAAACTAATTGGAATTTTGCAAAAACAACGACTTTGCCATAACACATGCACTAGATGCTAACTTTTTAGTCAATAAAAATTTTTTTTTTTTGGCTGGAGAGGCCCTCTAAGGATAAAGATTAGCGAATGTGTTTTGTTTTAGAAACTTAGAGGATACCTGTTTAATGAGATGAGGTCATGAGAATGTTAAGAAATGAATGAGTAGAAAAATAACGTGAACAAGCTTATGCAGAGTGAATACAGATGTGTATCTGAATACGTTTCCGCTATTGAGCAATAAACACTCAGCTCTAGTATCTTCTTGGTGTGGTGCGTGAGTCAAATAACATAAAAAACTATTTACAACGAATTCAATCAATTTTCTTGACGAATAGCCACACTATCAGTCCGTAACAATAAGACCTCTCTCTAACTACTCTAGCAGAATGAAGTTACATTAACAATGCGTGACGTGGCCAACACGTCGAGGGCCTGGACCCTACAAAAGTCGAGTATAATAATACTTTAATATATGTTTATACTATTCCAAATAATATTCCAAACTTAAATGTATGTACGTGGAACGAACAGTCCTATAGATTTCATGCAGCAGTTTCTTTTTAGCGGCTTCAATTTATGCAATTGTGTGCCATTTCTCTGTGAGACTATCATTTTCATAGCTGTCACTTCCGCGGTTGGTGCCTTGTACTGTGTTTATAAATTTATAACCTAGATTCTTTAGTCTTTTTAGTATTTCCCTCTTCGTTAGTATTACCTCTTGTCTCTTTTCTTCTTGGAATGAATCGAAACAGACAGGAATATGTTTGCACAAAATACTGTCTTAACGGTCTATTGTAATACGAGTAAATAAATGCGTTTGCACTTGAATTTATAAGCAACGGCAAAAATGTCCAAACCAGGATCGTGCTTGAGAGCTGTTTTGGTTTCCCAAATTTGAACATCTCCCAATTCCAGAAAAGCATAGTAATGAAATATGGTGTACACATTGAAAGCTGGAAAGAAAGAATGACGCTGACTGATCTTGCTAGGGCCATATCATGTCTGAGTTGTCTAGATCTTGACTGTATATGGTTGTCATTTCCGTTGTACAACTTTTTCACACTGTTTCGCACATGGCGACAGACTATCGCATAACAGCTTACTAACGTTACTAAAATAGCCACATAGATAGCGAAAGACGCAAATTTGACGGCGTAGTAGACGTCACTGTTATTTGTTACAAGAATGACGATTGAAGCAAAAAGCAGAACCCAGAAAATAGTACACATCAGGACGTACTTACGAACGGCTTGCCATCGAAAAAACAAGTCTTGCATCGGATACTTTAAAACTATAAGCCGTTCAATGCCGATAGCTAAGACAGTTGTAAAGTCTAACAAAAGAAAGGTGTGGGACAGAAACTGTATGGCAGACTTTGCCTTGCAGCTGCTATGTACCACTGGAGAGAGAATATAGGCACTACTTAGAGGCATTAATAAAACACCAACTAACAGGTCTGTTATGCAAAGAAAAACGATCAACAACTTTGAGCCGGATGATTTAGATCGAAGTAGGCCTATAATCACGACACTGTTGGAAACTAAAGTAATTGGTATCAGTGCTGCATTGAAGGAGAACATTGCAAGTCTATGGGATTTGGACAACTGAGACACATCTGGGGTAATACTTTTGCATGCAGAAACTGGTGCCAATGTCGTGTTCATTTTTATACAAAGTGTGTGTCAGGGAAGCACTGGTCTTGTATCGTCAGAAACAGTGTGATATTAACTTTTCTTTTCACGTGATCAGTATTCGATAATGTCCAATCAATCTCCCTTGCATTAAGTTGACTCTCGATCAAGGAAATGATTTTCAATTAAAGTTTGCCAGAAATCTGTGCTATACATGAGATGTGGATGAGATGTATCTTCACACTGAATCAATTGCTGCAAGCACAGAAGATGTTCTTGTTGTCCAGTCACACTGTAGCAGAAGATGGCATTTAGTGCAAATTTTCGTCGCATCGGAACTCAAATTGCTGTTCGTATTGCGCTTTTACAAGTCATCGACAACATTTGAACTGAAGAACGATTACAGCTTTATATAACAAGCATTTGCCACCAGCAACTCTATTCAAAACAAAGTTCTGAAAGGCAAGCAACATAATTAGAAATAAAACCGTAACATGACTAAATTTTCAATTATTTACGTTATTTTCACCAGAATCTTCATTTACTGAGCTTTAGACTCAGTGTTTATGTTTAACACAACACTTCATATTTAACCTGTTTACAAAAGAATTTGAAATGGACCATTTCCTTTTTAATTTAACAAACAGTGAAAATTTTAGAAAATACTGTTGAAAATATAAACAGTTTCTCTTAAAAATTTATGGCCTGTCGTCCCGACTCATATCACTTGAAGTTTATTCAATAGAAGAGGTAGTCAATAGATTTGAGGTTGCTAACGGAGTTGCCTTGAAAGAGGTTGTGCTCTTGTCTCCATACCACAGCCAATTTGTAAGACATTTACCTGCTTTCACAAATGTATTTGATGATGCTCTCTCGAGTTATTTTTTTCAAATGCGATATTCCAGGATGAGTCGCCTTCACCTTTCAAATTTATCCAATAATAAGATTGAACTTGCAAACTATATATACACTGCTTGGTATATGTATAATGACAGAATGCATGGTCATTGTGAAGAAAGGAGTGACACTTCATTGTAACCTCAAAATAAGGACACAAGTCATACAGCTTGAAGATTGCTGAAAGTTTCTTGACAGCTGGATATAAGGACATCAAAAGGCGTATAGGTATGTCAAAAATGCAATTATGAAAATGAAAGACATCTTGAGCAAACCAAAAACAAATATAAAAGTGCAAATAAGAGTTTCAAACTGCTAGATTCCGAAAATAGGCGTTTAAAAAAGGGAGTTGCTAAAACCGAAAAAAAAGTATCTTTACTAGTGGTTTACTTCTTAAAAAGTTGCATTTTTTGCATCAAGTGGAGGGCTTAAGCACCCCTTCTCCATCTATGATGTGGAAGTTTATAGAGCGACCAAAAGAAGCAACTGAAGTGTGATTTCTACCCTGGCGACTCAACCCGGGCCGACTCAGTCTGGGCCGACTCAACCCAGGCCGACTAGATCCGGGTTCGTTTTGAAAAATTTAGTGTAAATGCAAAACAGGGTTGAACCTGGGTAACTTTTCTACTGCCCATGCGGTTTAAGGTCCCGAGTTGGAAAACGTGCCAGTTTTCTCTGCATCTGTTCGTAAAGCGTGTGCTTTCTATTACCGGATTATGGTAAGCTTATTTTGGCATTGAAAAAGCAAACATTTTAAAACATATTGGCTAAAAGCTTTTTCCTCTGACACTCCTCAGAGCATAAAACATCAATCCTCAGACACTTTCTCAGAATAAGGGTCCCAAAGAAAACGATGAAAAATATATACCCAGTTGTGGATCGAAATAGGCCAATCAGAAAAACGCAAGCACAGGACCGGTATAGTTAACCAATCAGTGGCGCGTGCTTAAAGAAAAATTACCACTAGATTCCAAGAGAAAAAACGAACTCCTTCTGTCTACACAATGGCGGCTTTCTCGTTTGTATGTAGATCGATTCCAAAACTGCTAGATGGAAAGACGACTTTTTTTCAAGTTCTGTACAACCAAAAAACTGTTGATATGTTTATTATCTTGAGTGAGCATCATGAAATATATTTTCAAAATCGGCTAAATGTCTTACGGAGTGGCTCTGATGTTGCTACAAGAGCACAGGTTCTACCAAACTTCATATCTTTGACATCAACATCTTCAAAATATACTGCATGAACTTTTAGTGATATGAGTCGGGACGTAAGCGTAACTATCAATAATTTTATTATTGTTTCCTGCGACTTTCATTGTTCGTTAAGTCAAATGCAAACAGTCCACTTTCATTTTTTTTGTAAACAGGGAAAAGTGAAGCGTTGTGTATATAAACCCTTGGTCTGAAGATCAACAAATGAAGATTCTGGTTAGAATAACGTCAATTACAGATAATTTTGTCGTGTTACGATTGCTGTTGTAAATATGTTGCTTGTCTGAAAGAATTTGGTTTTGAATATTGCTGTTCTAAATATGTTGCTTGTCTGAAAGAATTTGGTTTTGAATAGTGTTGCTGGTGGTAGAGTTGCTGTCTTCGCGGTTAAAAATACTTTTTTTCAAGGATAAAGAGTTAGAACAAAAGGCTTCCAGACCAGAGTTTTTCTATTGACTGTGGTTACACAGACCCTCTACTTTCAAGTTAAGGGTCTGGGACAGAGGCTAATTGCCGATCGCAACTAGTTTTTTGCAAACTTGAACATTAACACAAATAGGAAAGCTTGCAATTATAAATTATCACATGATAGGCAAACTCTAATGTAAATGACTGCGAGCAGAAGCGGACTGGCCCACTGGGACAAATTTCCCGGTGCGCCCTTTGCCCCACGTTGTTGTTTTCAAAAAGTTTAAAACTATCAAAAGGCAGAAAATCCTTTTACAGAACTAAAGATGATTTCAGTCATCAGTTGACCTGTTGAAAGCAGGATATTTTATAGCATACTCAATGATGGGGGAATTGCCCCGCCAGGACCCATGAGTTCCCCCACCACTGACAAGGAAAGTTCTACTTTTACCCCAGATGCCAAGCCATTGTAGGGCACTTTCAAAAGAATAAACATGATGCAAATGTGCTGGCAAAACATATAATTTTATACTTTCTATCATCATCATGTTTTGGTGAAATGGCTCTGCTACTGCAAATGTAGCAGTTGAAATAGCTATGCCTTCATTCGGATTTTTCGCTGAAACGTTTTAATTAATGGCGTAGAAAAGGAAGCATTAGAAAAGTGGGAGGGGACATCGATTTGAAGAGGCATCCTAACAAAGATTTCAGAAAGGTTGAGAAAGGTGGTTTATGGGGGCCTAGCTACAATGATAGAGATGCGAGCTGTGCCGTCAAGAGGTTTTGAAGGCCCTGTGGAAAAACAAAATGGTCTCCTACGAGCGAAGCGATCAGAAAATCGTTGGCGACTATGCCCTTTAGATAAGCAAAAATGTGCTTCAGAGTATTTTTTGCAGTCATTTTCTCGCAACCTAAGTCATTTTTCAAAAAATCTGTCACCCTGGACCTGCAAAAAACTTGAAAAACCTAAAAATTTTTCAAAAATATTTTTTACTCGGAATAATCTGAAATGTTTGAAAAGACGTTTGGAACACAAATTAAAGTGTTTTCGATCAATTTGGAGGTTTATGTAGAAAAAAAGAACCAAGTCATTTTTCAAAAAATCTGTCACCCCAGACCTGCAAAAAAGCTTCAAAAATCTGAAAATTTAAAAACATTTTCTTTACTCGAAACAACCTGAAATGCTTGAAAATACGTTCAGAGTGTTCTCGATGAATTTGTAGATCATTTGTGGAAAAAAAGAACTGAATCATTTTTAAAAAATTCTGTCACCCCCGGGGCCTGTGAAAAAGCCTCAAAGAACCTGGAAAATTTTGTAAAAATTTTTATCACTTAAAACAACCTGAAGTGCTTAAAAATTACATTCAGGACACAATTTGGAGTGTTTTCTAAGAATTTGTAGGTCATATGAGGAAAAAAGAACTACAGTAAATCCATGCGGATATAG